TTCGTAGTTCCCGTTGTTTTTGGTGTCTGTCCCCAGTGACTAAGGTTGGTTCAGTGGGTTGTGTAGGCTTCCTGGTGGAGGGGATTAGTGCCTGTGTTGTGGTGGATGAGGCTGGATCTTGTCTCTCTGGTGGGCAGGTCCACGTCTGGTGGTGTTTTTTGGGGTGTCTGTGGACTTATTATGATTTTAGGCAACCTCTCTGCTAATGGGTGAGGTTGTGTTCCTGTCTTGCTAGTTGTTTGGCATAGGATGTCCAGCACTGTATCTTGCTGGTCGTTGAGTGAAGCCAGGTGCTTGAGATGGAGATCTCTGGGAGTTTTTCACCATTTGATATTATATGGAGCTGGGAGGTCTCTTGTTGACCAGTGTCCTGAAGTTGGCTCTCCCACCTCAGAGGCACAACACTGACTCCTGGCTGAAGCACCAAGAGCCTTTCATCCACACGGCTCAGAATAAAAGGGAGAAAAAGTAGAGAGAAAGAATTAGTAGAAGTGGGAAGAAAGAAAGAAAGAAGGAAAGAAAGAAAGGAAGGAAGGAAGGAAGGAAGGAAGGGAGAAAGAAAGAAAGAAAGAAAGAAGAAAAGAAGGAAAGAAGGAAAGAAAGAAAGAAAGGAGGGAGGGAGGGAGGGAGGGAGGGAAGGACGGTGGGAGGAAGGAAGGAAGGAAGGAGGGAAGGAAGGAAAAAAGAAAGAAGGTAAAGTATCATAAATAAAGTAAAATATAATAAAGTTATTAAATTAAAAAATAATTATTCAGAAAACAAAACAAAACAAAAGAAAACAAAAAAACGGATGGATAGAACCTTAGGACAAATGGTGGAAGCAAAGCTATACAGACAAAATCTCACACAGAAGCATATACATACACACTCACAAAAAGAGGAAAAGGGGAAAAAATCATAAATCTTGCTCTCAAAGTCCACCTTCTCAATTTGGGATGATTCGTTGTCTATTCATGTATTCCACAGATGCAGGGTACATCAAGTTGATTGTGGAGCTTTAATCCTCTGCTTCTGACGCTGCTGGGAGAGATTTCCCTTTCTCTTCTTTGTTCTCACAGCTCCCAGGGGCTCAGCTTTGTATTTGGCCCCACCTCTGGGTGTAGGTCGCCGAAGGGCGTGTGTTTTTTGCTCAGACAGGACGGGGTTAAAGGAGCCACTGATTCGGGGGCTCTGGCTCACTCAGGCCGGGGGGAGGGAGGGGCACGGAGTGCAGGGCGAGCCTGGGGCGGCAGAGGCCGGCATGATGTTGCACCAGCCTGAGGCTCGCCGTGCGTTCTCCCGGGGAAGTTGTCCCTGGATCCCGGGAACGTGGCAGTGGCGGGCTGCACAAGCTCCCCGGAAGGGAGGTGTGGATAGTGACCTGTGCACGCACACAGTTTTCTTGGTGGCAGCAGCAGCAGCCTTAGTGTCCCCTGCCCGTCTCTGGGTCTGCGCTTTTAGCCGTGGCTCGCGTCCATCTCTGGAGCTCCTTTAAGCAGCGCTCTTAATCCCCTCTCCTTGCGCACCAGGAAACAAAGAGGGAAGAGAAAGTCTCTTGTCTCTTCGGCAGCTCCAGACCTTTTCCCGGACTCCCTCCCGGCTAGCTGTGGTGTACTAACCCCTTCAGGCTGTGTTCACGCCCCCAACCCCAGTCCTCTCTCTGCGCTGGTTGGAGCATTTAATCCATTTAAGGTAATGATTGATATGTATATTCCTAATACCATTTTCTTAATTGTTTTGTCATTGTAGGTCTTTTCTTTCTCCTGTTTTGCCTGCCTAGAGAAGTTTCTTTATTGTTTGTTGTAAACCTGGTTTGGTGGTCATGAATTCTCTTAGCTTTGCTTGTCTGTAAAGCTTTTAATTTCTCTGTTGAATCGGGATGAGATCTTTGCCGGGTAGAGTAATCTTGGTTGTAGGTTTTTCTCTTTCATCACTTTAAATATGTCCTGCCCCTCCCTTCTGGCTTTCAGAGTTTCTGCTGAAAGATCAGCTGTTAATCTTATGGGGATTCCCTTGTATGTTATTTGTTGCGTTTTCCTTGCTGCTTTCAATATTTTTTCTTTGTATTTAATTTTTTATAGTTTGGTAAATATGTGTCTTGGTGTGTTTCTCCTTGGAGTTACGCAGTATGTGACTCTCTGCACTTCTTGGACTTGATTGACAATTTCCTTTTCCATATTGAGGAAGTTTTCAACTATAATCTGTTTAATATTTTTCAGACACTTTCTTTTTCTCTTCTTCTTCTGGGACCCCTATAATTCGTATATTGGTGTGTTTAATGTTATCCCAGAGGTCTCTAAGAATGTCCTCCATTCTTTTTTCTTTATTCTGCTCTGTGGTAGTTATTTCCACTATTATATTTTCCAGGTTAGTTATCCACTCTTCTGCCTCAGTATTCTGCTATTGATTCCTTCCTGAGAATTTTTACTTTCATTTATTGTGTTGTTCTTCTTTGTTTTTTTGCTCTTTAGTTCTTCTAGGTCCTTGTTAAACATTTCTTGTATTTTCTCTATTCGTTTTCCAAGATTTTGGATCATCTTTGCTGTTATTACTCTGAATTCTTTTTCAGGTAGACTGCCCATTTCCTCTTCATTTGTTTGTTCTGGTGGGTTTGACCTTGCTCCTTCATGTGCTGTGTGTTTCTCTCTATTCTCATTTTGCATAACTTACTGTGTTTCGGGTCTCCTTTTTGCAGGCTTCAGGTTCATCATTCCTACTGTTTTTCGTGTTTTCCCGCAGTGGCTAAGGTTGGCTCAGTGGGTTGTGTAGGCTTCCTGGTGGAGGGGACTGGTGCCTCTGTTCAGATGGATGAGGTTGTTGTCTTTCTGGTGGGCAGTGCCACGTCTGGTGGTGTGTTTTGTGATGTCTGTGAACTTATTCTTATTTTAGGAAGCCTCTCTGCTAATGGGTGAGGCTGTGTTCCTATCTTGCTAGTTGTTTTGCCTGGCATGTCCATCACTGGAGCTTGCTGGTTGTTGTGTGGAGGTGGGTCTTAGTGTTGAGATGGAGATATCTGGGAGAGCTCTTGCCGATTGATATTATGAGGGGCCGGGGGGGTCTCTGGTGGACCAACGTCCTGAAGTCGACTCTCCCACCTCAGAGGCTCAGGCGTGACACCCAGCCAGAGCACCAAGACCCTGTCAGCCACACAGCTTTTTGGTATGGATTCATTGGCCAAGGCACAAGGGCACCTTCTGAAGTGATTGTTATTTTTCGTATCCTGATTGAGGTTTAAGATCTGTCCATTTCAGAATAAGTAAATTATATTTCAATTAAAAGAAACTCAGCCGTGAAGATTTATGATCCTTTTCAGTCTCTTTCACAATCCAATCTTAAGGAAGCACATAAAATATTACCTGCGAATGAGTGAACAGGATGCAGTTCTGGATGTTTCAAGTTCTAAATCACAGAACAGCAGGTAAGGAAGCAGGTTGGTAGAATCACTCCCACTTATAACATGACCTGACCTCTTTCATTACCTTTGTGACAGCAAAGAATACTAAACCTACTTCTGCTTGGATGTTGTGAGCTGTGATGATAGCCTGCATTTTTGGAAAGAACCAATCAGGTTTCTTTCCTGAAATAACAGGAATACCTCGTACCCAAGCCATCAACAATGTGGGTCCACTTGGCCAAGGACCTTACCACATGGAGAGGTCTAAGAGGTGAGGATACCCATCCTGAAGAGGAGTGGAGACTGGTGGGGATGAGAAAGATTGAAACAGTGGCAGTGAATCTGTGCTCTCAGACCCTGAAGTCCTTGTTCTTATAGTTCTTTTTCAATTCTACATGCCCCCTCTTCATCCTAATATCCTTCCCAGCAATATGAACTGATAACTTGTGAATTAATCCACTTTGATGTGTACTCCCTGTAGCTACTTGTACACTAACATATCAGCTGTGAAAACTTTTCTGGTTCATTCCTAGTTGAGGTCCTCCCAGATTTATCCTTTTCTATTTTTTGTACTTAATTATTTCTTTGGAAATTGTATATAGATTCACAGAAAGTTGCAAAAATAGAGATCCCATGTCCCCTTCACTGGAATTCTCTCAAGGGTGACATGGTGACATGTTGCATAACTATACTCCAGGATCAAAGTCAGCCAACTGACATTGGTGTAATCCACAAACTCCCCTTTTATTTCTTATTTTTTAGAAGAATGTTTAGCTGTGCTTACTGGTATGAGTTAGAACCTGATTATTGCACTCAGGAGATTTACAGCCTGATGAGGAAGTGAAGCACAAGGCAGTCAAGTTCAGGTGTGTTGTGTCACACCTGGGCAGGTACAGCATGCTCCCCTCACTGTGTCCCAGCAAACCAGGCACTTGGCATTTGTTAACTCCTTAAGCCACACAACCACCAGGTAACACCAATACTATTAGTATCCTCATTCCTTTTACAGAGAGAAGGAAACTAGGGCTCAGGGAAGGTAACCAACTGGCTTAAGGTCACAAAATTGGGGGGAGCAGAGCTAGAGTTTAAACCCATGAAGCCTATTTTCAGAGTGTTCTGCCCAAACATTATGCAATGGGACTAATAGCCAAGGGTAGAATTCTTTCCCTGAGTCTTTGTGGAACTTTCCCCAGCGTCATTCCTGTTTCCCCTCACACACTCTTCCCCGCTTGTGCTCATTGGGTTCCCGGGGTTAGCCACTTCAATAGCCATGTTTATCGCTCTCTCAGGCTGTGCTCTAGCAGGAATACATTCCCTGGGTGCACCTCTCAGAAGATGCCACGTCCCTCTATGCAGCAGGTGGGGTTAGAGACCTGGCCATCTTCCAAGGTTGTTGAGTGTGGAGGGCCAGGGTCCTAGCCTCACATTCAGGGGGTTGCTTCTTGGTGGTATAATGCTGGAAAACAAGAAACAAACCAAAACTACCAAGAAACCAGGAGAAGAAAGTCCTGCACAGCAGAGGAACACATTTACTTGTCAGTTCATGGCTTCAGCTCTCAGCCCCATAGTGGTGAATATGGTGGAGATGGTGGATGTAGTGGGCTGGGTAGTGCCCTTGGTGCCTCACTCTGGGGGTGGGTAGGGCTGTGGGCATTTAGGAAGACAGGGCTTGGAACATGGCTTGGGAGGACAGGGAGCTGGGCTGGGGCATGGTGGAGGGCAGAGTGGGGGGCATGGGGGACATGGGACACTTCGGTGGTGCTGGGCACTTTTCCTGTGGGCACTTTTCAGAGCACCGTTGCAGCAGCTTCTTTAAACAGCTGGACTGGCATTTAGTTTCACACCTTTGTTCACACCTGGGATCACATTGCTTGGGCTCATTCTTGGGTTCACTAGGTTTGTTTTTATCATCACTCGACATTCCTTCTTGATTTTCTGAAACCTGCAAAGAAATACGTGACAGGTTATGTGTGAGAGACCACATTGCAAGGTGGGAGAGGACCAGTACAGCCTTCTCACACACACCTCCTGCCCTGCCCATTCTTGTTCTTAAGAAAGCCTTTCCTGGGATGTGTTCAGGCTCTAGAATAAATTCTCATCTAAGGTCTGTCCTCTTGTCCTTGCAGTGCATTGGTGACAACATTTCTTGATCTCTCCACCATTGCTATGATTTCTTTTCACTTATTCTTGTCTCCATTCCATAGCCCCTAGCAGGAGCTCTTAACCTTAGGGTCCTTGGACCGCCCCCCACAACCCAACCATATTTAACCATATATTTATCAATATAATTGGTATCTTCTGTAACCCCATGTATTTTATTTCATTCATTTTAAAACATTATTCTGAAGAGTCCTTAAGCTTGATCAGACTTCTAAATGCATCCATGGCACGACAACAGTTTTAAAGAACTCCTGTAAGGGCACCTCCTTATCCCTCTGGAGATGGAATGGGAGGATATGTTAGTGGGCTTGGGGACCTATGACACTTCTTCCAATTCTATGTCTTGCCTAAGCCCTCAAAACCTTGAGAACTGCTTTTGTCACTTGAGGACTGAGCATGGAAAAGAGTTGAATTCCTACCACGGCTGGGCTCCCATGGACCACTCTAGGAACTCCTCCGCCGGGTGATTAGGGTAAGGAAAGAAGTTAAGAGAAGAGGTGATAAACTGGGAAATTCTAGTTTCTCTGAAAATATGAATGTTGGAGCCACAAACTATGATTTTAGGGAGTAAATCCTTTTCCCCTCTGTTGAGTTTTGCCCTGAGATAGGTCTTCCTCTATAGACTGTTTGACTTCTGGATATGGACAGGACTTTTCAGTCTCTGACAATACTTGCAAGTTGGATCTAATTGGCACATCTTTGATTTCCTTTAACAATATAAAAATAAAATTTTTAAATCTAATTTTGTTTTAAAGTCAGTATGGCTCTCTGGAGAGACAGATCATTACATTGAACTCCAAAATGGTTAAGAATTACTCTTTCAAATGAGGTGTAGCTAGATCCTGCTACTGAAAATGAGAGGAAACTTTCACCCAAATATAGCCATCATTTCAACCCTGCTCAATGCCTGGGGTGCTGTGGGTCATCCCCCAGAAAGAAGAGGTAAAAGAGGGGGCATTTCCAGTTGTCCACATGCAACTCACCCCTTTGTGTTGGTATTGAACTTGACAAGTAGTTGAGTGAGGTGGATGTTATTTATGGCTGTGCCCGGGAAGGTGGATTTTCCCCTCTGGTTCTTCTGCCCAGCTCTGAGGAAGACAGAGTGGGGGAAAGGGGGAGCCCCACTTGTGACCTCATCACTGCATCATCCAATCGCAATTGTTGTGTGACTCCAGAGCTTCCAGCTCAACTCAAGCCCTTGAACAGAAGAATAGGCTATGATTAATACCTCCTTTGCTGTCCTGTCCCCTCCCAGGTCCCTCAAAATTCATGCTGGCGAAATCAGGCTACCATGAAGGGAACTAAACTTTAAGGATAGGGAGGCTCATTGTTGCTAGGAGCAGAAAAGCTCTGTTTATACCTGATCTCTCTTTCCTCCCCCAGTCTCCCAAATTTTAACTCCTTTGAACTTGCCTGTTCTTCATCTTTCTAGGAGAGCTCCCCTGATTGATCACAGCCATTTTGATGCTCCTGTCCCCACTATGTTTTTTAAAATTAATCAATTAATGAATTAGTTAATTAATTAATTTTTGGCTGTGTTGGGCCTTCGTTGTTATGTGCAGGTTTTCCCTAGTTTCGGCGAGCGGGGGCTACTGTTTGTAGCAGTGCGCGGGTTTCTCATTGCAGTGGCTTCTCTTGTTGCAGGGCATGAGCTCTAGGTACACAGGTTCCGCAGCTACTGTTGTGGCACACAGGCTTATTTGCTCCGTGGCATGTGGGATCTTCCTGGACCAGGTCTCGAACCCGTGTTCCTTGCGTTGGCAGACGGATTCTTAACCACTGTGCCACCAGGGAAGTCGTCCCACTATGTTTTTTTTTTTTTTTTTAACATCTTTATTGGGGTATAATTGCTTTACAATGGTGTGTTAGTTTCTGCTTTATAACAAAGTGAATCAGTCATACATAAACATATGTTCCCATATGTCTTCCCTGCCCACTATGTTTTTAACATGAGATTCTGAAACCTCTTTTTACCACTCCACACTCCCTGGCTCAAATCAAAGGATTATTTTAGCTCTTTTTTTCAATGACTCTGCCTAAAATTCACTGTTTGTTGGATTCTGTGATTGTTTTTTTCAATCAGGGTGTGGCCAACCCTTGATATCTAAGGTAGATGCTGCTTATTCCTAAGAAATTGAGTTTGATGCTCCTGACCAGTCCTGACCTGTTGGGCTAACCCCAGATTTTGTCTTAGAGTAGAAAGGTCTGCCTCTGTGAAAGTTCCTTCCTTGTTTTTTCAAAGACCTGGCCAGTGGGTCTTTGTGGTTGCAATAGGGGTGTGTCTGAGGTGGTAATAGGAGTGGAAAGTCAATTGGGCCTCAGAGACACATGGTGCCTTGAACTCTGGTCCAAGATATTCATCTTGGCAGTCATTCACTGCTGAATCATGAGTGACTTTTGGTTAAAATTGTGATATGATCATGTCTAAGGTGTTGTGACAAAGTGAGAGAGTGACATGGACATATATACACTACCAAACATAAAATAGATAGCTAGTGGGAAGCAGCTGCATAGCACAGGGAGATCAGCTCGGTGGTTTGTGACCACCTAGAGGGGTGGAATAGGGAGGGTGGGAGGGAGGGATATGCAAGAGGGAAGAGATATGGGAACATATGTATATGTATAACTGATTCACTTTGTTATAAAGCAGAAAGTAACACACCATTGTAAAGCAATTATACTCCAATAAAGATGTTAAAAAAAAAGTGCAGGATGGTTTGAAGGATGGAGTGATGGAGTGTAAGTTGAACTAAGCTGTTCAAAGAAATTATAAAAATATCCAAGTCTGAAGAAGGCAGTGGCGGTGGGAGAAAGAGGGTACCAATGAGAGAAACATCATCAGAGAAGCAAATTTATGGTATCTGGTTAGTGGAAAGTTAAGAAGAAAATTAAGAACTCAGAGGACTCCCAGGTGCTATTGTTAATGGGCACTGAGGAAACAGAACAGGTTTGTGTTAGAAGAAGAGGATTTTGAGTCTGAGAATTTTGTGTTTTCAGTGAAGCATCTTTAATGGTTATTAGAAAGATGGATCCTTGTGCTGCTGGGCAGACCTGAGATCCTGAGTTCACTTCAGCCCAACACATGTTTATGAGTGGATGAGAGTGAGCTGGTCCAGAGAGAGAGGACTGGGGGAGAGAAGAGAAAAGGTAATGGGGAGGATGGGGTATCCCAATGCAGGGTTTATTTGGTATTCACAGTGGATAAAGAATGTCATAAAACCCAAATGAACCTAAATGAAAGGTGACGGTAACCAGAACTGACCCCCCTGTCCCTGGGATAATTGGTGTTAGATCCATTGTCTTGGTGCAGCCCAATCCTCTCATTTTCTTCCTTCCGTCATTTTATTCAAGAGCACTATCTCTTCAAGGCTGTTGAAAAGCAGTTCTTACACTCATTTCAGGAGTCCCAGATCCACCTGCTGTTCTGCTCTGGACCGAAGTTAGCAATCTGGTTATGGAGAAGGTAGTCATTTGTGACAGTGATGTCAAAGGATGTAGTGATTTCTACTGACTGTTGTCTGGCTGTTTTCATCTTTCTCTCTCTCCTTTCTCCCCTCTCCTATCTCTCCCTTAAGAAATTCACACTAAGTGAAAGTCTACCACTCATTGGACTGTCAACAGGACAGCATCTTTAAAACCCTTCTTTAAAGGGTTACATTTAGTAACAGCTATCCACTTATGTTTGGCTTAGGATTTGGTTGGCAGCTAGCTGGCAGCAAGGCACGACTGAGATGAAACACAGAACAGGCTGCTTGAGTGGCTGGGTCTCAGAAGAAGAGACACTGGAAGGGGAGAGGAGTGGGTGTCACGGCTCCCAGGTTGAGAGAGAGGACTCTGGAGTCAGATCTCCGGGTTCAAGTCCTGCCTTTATCCTTACTTACCAAATGACCCCTAGTACCTGACTTAAACTTTCTAAGTTTCAATTCCTTCAACAGTAAAATGTGATAATAATAGCACCCATTTTAAGATAATATGTAATTTATATTGAGTGCTTATAAGATGCCAGGGATGTTTCTAAGTGCAAAGCCTACACTTCCATCCATCCTCCTGTCTCACCGTACTTGTAGGTTGTTGTGAAGACTGAATGAGATTCTATGTTTGAACAGCCCCCAATAAATGTTCACTATACATATGAGTTATTATTTTTCATTGCTTTCCTGACTTTGTCTTCTCTTGACTTGTAGGATCTCTCTCTGCCTCTGTCTTCGACCTACCTCTTTTACCTCCTGATCTTGGCCCTGAAATCCCACTTCTCCATATCATTTTTGCGTGCCTTCCAGCCAAAGTTCCTGGTGGTCTAATCCAGGAAGATTAGATATTTCAATACTAGCTGTTAATGGATGATTTCATTTTTGAGTAAGGAGAGTTGACATAAATGTTATTGAAAAAAGAAAGTACTTTAAGCATTCACTATGGCCCAAAAATTCAGTGAACCATTCAGTGGTTTCTCCTTGTGAAACTGCAGGTCCTGTAGTTCTGTATATTTTACCAGGCCAGGGAATTCTATGTGTCAGAAATTTTAACCTCACTCGCATTCCCGTTCTCTGCTTTTTAGGTGAAGTCATTTTTTTTCCCTGTCTTTTTCTGTCTTTCTGTGTGATTCTTGTTGAATAAGCAGGACTCATAGGAAAAAGTCAGAAAAAAACTCTATTCCTTCCATTGGTGCCTCTTCAAACACTCTTTGTGGGGCTGGCTCTTTCCTTCCTCTTGGGATGTAATCTCTAGCAGATGCCATTGACTTTTAGGATCCTGCTTAGACAA